TTTCATTACGGAACATTGTTGATGCGTTCAATTTGTCGCGTTCATGAGTGCGTCTAACGACGTAAAGAATTGAAATGAACTTCACTGAATGCGCTCATCGCAAATTCGTGTTTTACTTTGTTTTGTTAGTGTGGTGCAGGGGTTGTGATCAATTGTCGCCAAACTCCATCCAAATCGCAATCGTACAAGTAAAAAAATTTTTGTACCCGTCCTGGTTACACGACACAACTCCAAAAATGAACAAAAGTCCACCACCTGGGTGACCAGTAGAGCAAAAAATGCCGAAAAATTTCCATTTTTTTCGTCATTTTACACTGTAACTGGCCCAGAATGCCTTTTCAAGGGCTAATGTCTTGGTAAAAATTGTACATATTGACGAGCCAAACAAAACCTCATCAACAGTTTTTGCCCAAAATTGGCTAGAATAATGGAATCGGTCGAAATGTTGCGATATGAATTGGCTTCCGAAATCGCTGTCATGAAAATTTTCATATGGGGCTTGCCATGGGTTTTTATATGGTACCCATGTGATTTTTTTAGACAAAACCTATTTTTTTGAGGTATATTTTTCGAAACTGCCCGGGCCTTTTGGATGAGGGGCAACTTTTTTTTTTGGAGCAGGCTAGTACACAGTATATCGTTTCCATCACAGGGAGTTGACAAGACGAACGTTATACGGTTTTTTTTAATTCGATTTCGAAGAGGAAAATAGATGGATATATGCAACGTGTATTCACCATCTCTTTCGATGGAATTCTAAAAGCTTACAGCTCACAAGATGCGTCTTGTTAATTCCCTATGCTTTCCATATATTTTTTTAAAATATAATTTCGCCGTTTCATTTGAAAATGTGATGATCATTTTGCACGATTATGGCAGAGCATTTGGATCAATCATCGCGTGCCAGATTCAAAGAAGTGAATGAAAAAATAGAAAAAATAACGAAGCTTATTTGGTTGACTTACAATTGCACCATCTATTGTCTCATGTTGCCACAACTGATCATCATTTTGTATGGACATTTTACAACTGGACTGGAAGTTAAGGATTACCAGTTACCTCTTTGTATGTGGTAAGTGAAATTTCGTTCGCATTCAAATGATTTTTGAAATTTCAAATTCAACAGACTGGCAGAAACAATAATTCCATCTATTCTCCACTGTTATAGGATTCCATTCAACTATAGTACACCCATTGCATACTCCATTGCGTACGGTTTTCAATATGTAGAAGTTTTTTTTTCCTTAAATTACACAGTTATCAACATAAGTCACTTTATTGGCACATGTTATTTAATCATAACTGTTACCAATGAAATAAAAAGAGAGCTAAAAATCCTAAACGAAATGAATAAAACTGCAGAGAACCATGGTGAAATTAAAAAGAAATTCGATGACTTCATTCAATTTCATGCGGAAGCAAAACAGTTAAGTTTCAAATGAATGTCCAGTGTCAACTCTTATTCTTATCGAAGAAGGGGAATATTATACTTTAGTATGCAAAAGAGTCAATTTTAAAAATATTGTGATTTAATGAAGTGACCATTTTATATTTAGCGCGCATATATGAGAGAAGTCACAATATATTAAAACAACATAATTCCCATTTCATTATAGAATCCATACCGAAAGTCATTCATTTTTTAATACTCACCCAGGCCCGTCAAACGCTCACCAACGTTTCACACATTTGAATGAAATGTTCATAGACTCATGCATATGCACGATTCCTGTCCACTGTCCACTGTTTGCTGTATGAATGTGTCAGCTAATCGCGAACAACAATTGTGCATATACATCACATCTGACAATTTAATTATTTTATTTATTTCACTGTCTCTCTCAAGTTTGAAAACCACAAATGTCACAGAGCGTTTCATTTTGAAATTGGCTACACATTTCCTTCAAAGAATAGTAAATCATAGGAAATATATTCAATCAAAAATATTGCAGTTTATGAATTGATGTTTTGAAAAAAAAGAAAAAAAGGAAAAAAAATCTAAATAATCAAATGAAAAAAAAAAACAAAAAAATTCTATACTAAAAGCAATGAATGTTCAACAATTTCACATGTTAAATAAAGTTTCTCACAAGCACAGCAGGAAATTTCGTTTTAATCGTTTCCATTAAAATCTTGTTTTATTTGTAATTTTTTCAAATACTGAAAAAGTGAAAGTTTGAACTGTTCTTCACTTTCTTCAAAAAGCAAAAAAGAATAAAATCGGAGTATGAGCTGAAGTTGAATGTGAACCAAATGTGAAATTCCAGATTTAAATGACATTCATCCAATAGTATGAATCTTTAAGGGTGCAAGTCAAACGATGAAACGCGCATAGTCTTTGTAAATGGTCCGAAAGATAACTCACTTCAATGCACCGTTCGATGCACCAGGCTATGCGGTTTATTGTACTTTAACGTGATGAATATATCAATAAATAATCATTCGGTTCAATCATAATTGAAAATGCCACTTTTGTTAAACTGTGAAAATGAAATAATTTATTCGGAATGTTCGTGTATTTGCACATCGATTTGATTCAATGGTTTCGACTTAAGCGTTTTTATTACTAGCTGCGTAATGATGGCGATGGAACGGACAAGAGTTTATGATGTCGATTTCTTGTGGTCACATCAACCGTTCGCGATCCGAACCAGCCCACTTTAAAATTCAACGTTTCGTGCAGTAATTGCTCTTCTTCGTGGTTCAGATGCAAAAGTGTTCCAATCGCTTTTATTAGGTGTCGAGCTTCGACCTATGAAAGATATATCATAAATAAAATAATATAAATATGTTCAATGAATTCATGTCCATGAAATGAGTTCACAGTTCTAATGGGTGACCCACCTCTCGACTAGTCAAAAATTTCAGTATCACATGTTTCAAGTATGCAAAGTTGACATCGTCCATGACAACGGCCAACGCCTTCTTCGAATTATTGTTTACAAGTTGATCTGTTTCGGCTGTACTATCGCCGACGATATTCCCATTGGTCGTTGGCGCATTTGAATTGTTTGCCACAATCGCGCCAACCTTTTCATTTGAACTTGATTTCAGCTCATTTTGAAGTGTCTTCTTCATATCGGACAGTCGCTGGTTCAGTATTTTGATTGCCTGTGGAAAAATAGATGCCATTGCTATTAAATTTTTCGTAGAATTCCAAGTATCCAAACATTAACAACATTTAAACGGTGTATTTAAAATTGTTCAACAGAAGACAAAAAACTGAGCCTACCTTATTTTTGTCACTGATCTCATTTCTCAAATCTTCAACGCTTTCGAGTTGCTGATGATATTCGTTGAGACGTGCTTCTAACTCGTTTCGCTCGTCCGTCAATTTTTGGACCGTGTCACACATTTCATTCATTTCGTGTGATTCATTTCGCAGTTGTTGCTTCAATCGCTCTTCATTCTGTGAAATCTCAGCATTTTTCAATACAATGGTATTCTTCTCCTTTTTCTCTCTGAAATAGAAAAATGACGTTCAGATTTGCTCTTCTTAATATGGTTTCTTTGAATACACTGATTTTGATATAATAATAATGAAACTTGGTTTGCTGAACTATTTTATAATAGAGAATTTTCAATTGATATTCAAACATTTTCGTTTCAAATTTCATTTTTATCTTGAAAATAGTTCAATATCCTTTGCTTTGATCAAACACAAAACTCACTTCTCCAATTCGGTTTGTATGGAATACAGATCAGTTTGAAGAGCTTCGACGCGTCCATTTAGGGATCGGGTGAGTTGGTCGGTTTCATCGGATTGCGTGTTCAGTCGATCCATGGTTGTTTCCAGAGACTGTTTCAGTTCATCAATTTCATTCGTATTCTTGTTCTATACCGTAAAAGGAGACAAATATATTACATTTTTGAAATAAATTGCGACAGTGTAATAGTTTAACACCAATTAGAGTGCATAAAATCTGTCTGATCAACAACTATCATCTTTTCCATTAATGATGAAATAACAAACATTCGCCGTAACCATTCAGTCGAAGCCAAAAGAATTCCAAAAATAAAAATCAAACGCCAAAAAGTATGCGAATAAAAAGGTCGGCAATTATCACAATTACACCACCTCTGAATGGATCTGCATATTGAAAATTGAAAGTAATTTTGTGTGCTGAGCAGAACACGAATGTGCCTTCAGAAGTATTTAAATGTCGATATTGTGGGGAGTCGAAATTAATTCGATCAATGTTTGTTTTCTGCATATTTGTTTTCATCGGCAAAAAAGTAGAGCAAATTCCATTTGATTCAGATAGAATCGAATGATCGTAAAAATAGTCTCGTAGTTGGGAAAAAAATGACTCGATTTCAACTGTATTGCGAATTCAAGGGCAAATTAGTCAAGCGCATCATTACAACTGAGGCTATGTTTCAAGTCAAGTCAATGCAAACGATTTGTGCGATTTTCATCAAATTTATTTGTTTTATTGAATTTGTATCGGTATGATCAATCATGTGCTGTCTATACTCACAACTTTGTTTCGCAAGAATGTCACTTCCTCTTCGTTTTGGTCTTTAAAATCTTGATAAGTTGAGCTTAAATCGTCAATTTCTTCGCTCATTAACTTTATCTGAAAAGAAAAATGAGAATTTTGAAATTGCACACTTGATGGAAACTGAATAGAGATCCGCGCCGAGTCTTTGTTTTCACGAATCATTTCGAATGATGGCAAACCTTTTGATCGCGTTGTTCAATATCGACGTAGGATTTTTCGAGTTGGAATGCCAGCTGTTTGCACTTTTCGGCCAGTTGATCATGTGCGGTGAGGGCTTTTCGTTTTTCGGTAGTTTCGGCGGCCACTTGCCGGGATAAACGGTCGACTTGTGTCTCCAAGGCCATATTCTGTGCACTCCATGTACTTTTTATGTCCGACAAATGGAGATGTGCCTCTTCTAAACGTTGCTCCAACATGCGACGTTCACGCAACAAAATCTGCATCTTTTCGTCATTACTTTGGTTCATTGTGAAATTGATGCGACCCTCTTCGTATATCTGTTGAACGAGAAAAAAAAAACAATTATTTTCATTTGCATAAAAACAATGAGCTGAGTCCATGCTATGCATTTTGATATACCTGTAATTTGCTGGTCAAATGCCGATTGTGCTCTTCCATCGATGCCAACGTGGCCGTTAAACTGTTCTTTTCCATTTGTGCCGAATGACGCAATTTCTCCAGTTCATCCTAATGAATAACCGAAGAGATACTTACATTTCACTGAAAATACTCAACGCAACATGGATTGCACGAGTAATTTGTGCTTACAAACGTGTTTTATGTATTGCAATGGACGTGCTGCGTTTTCATGATGTGGATAAATGAATGATGACTTGAACACAAATGAACATAAAGCAAAATAACTACGAAAAAAAGGGGTGAAAAATCGAATTAACAGAAGCGAGGATAAAACATAAAAAAAATGCCAACCAAAAAACATGATGTATCTGTCGTTAAGCAAATATTCGATAGAACAGTGAAATTGACAAGCGATGAGGGTGGCTCAAGTTACCTGAATATTTTCGAAATTCGCTTCAAGTTCACGCAAACGGACATTTTCCATTTGCAGCTGCTCCAACTGATTATCCTTTCGTTTTATTGTCGACAGTCGATCAATCGCTTCCTGTAACCGTGAAAAAAAAATTGAGCAGAACGTTCGAAATGGGTTTAAAATTCAATCAAAATTCACTTGGAATCGAAAAAATGTGAGAAAAAAGTCTTCAATTTAAAAAATGAAGAAAAAAAATGTTAAAAAATCATTTCTTGCCCTTACTTGTTCCCGAAAATGTAGTAAGCTCTTGAGTTTGCTAATTTCTTGTGCTTGTAAATTTTGTATTTTATCCTGTTCGCTGTGAATCATCTCTTTTTGTTCTTGTGCCACTTTGAGTGCATCATCTAGAATGGCGTTACTCTTTTCCAGCCGATCCTTAATTGCCGCCAGTTCATTGCATTCAGTGGATAATTTGGTAAGCGTTGCATCCGATTCGTTTAGTTTTTCGATCAATTGATTGATTTCATCGTTTTTCTGTGCGATGACGGCGTTCAGTTGATCGATTGGTGAAATGTTTGCGGTGAAACGTGATTGCTGGTTATTATTGAGCGTTGCGGCGGTGCCATTTGAATTGACAGCACCCAGTTGACTTGTATCGATGATAATGTTGTTGTTGTTGTTGTTATTTAAATTGTTCACACTCAACGAGTTGCGACGATGCGACGTGAATGCCGGATGTGATGCACAAACGTCGTTACCAGTCTCCTCGCGAATTCTATTCTTCAGCGATGTGAACATCATAAAAATGCTGCTGCAACCAATCACCCACTACAACACTGTGTCATGCCACAATGACGTTCAATGCGGAGCAAACGACGACAGACGACTATTCTAATGGATGAAGAAATGTAACGTGTTAGCAAATACTATTAAAATCAACACATTTCTTTTTTTTTCTTTCTATTTAATATCATTATTTTGCATGTTTCAAGTCAACGACCATTTTGTGCTACACTTTTTGCACGAACAATGTTGTTGGTCTTTTTTCCGTCGTTGTAAGTTAGATTTAGTGTTGGAACGAAATGGAAGCAGATAAAATAAGGCTAACAATGGAATCAAACAGGCGATAGGGCGCTCAAGCGACACGAATTAATTGTTACACACAAATCGTCTATCAAACACGTATTCCACTTTCGGGGCACAATCAAAATGTGCATGGCATAGAATGAAAAACAATCAAATCAGCCATTTTCAGCGATTTTCATGGGTTTGAGTTGAACAGACACATAAAACACTTTTGAATGACCTTTTTTTCGTCAAGAGCTTAATGAATTAGCATTATGTCCAAAAAATGGCATTATAATTGCCAGAACAATCCACTTGTGCCTCTTACTTCGGAGACTAAACTCTCCTTTTCCTTAAGTTACTAGTCGAAGACCTATCTCATTGACTCAACGTACAAGTTTAGGACGAAACGAAAAGTGTGCCAAAAATTGAGGAGCGTCGTCGATTTGTGAATATATTGTTACCACTTTACTTTGCCCAACCCAAGTTCATTTCCTGACACAATGCCATTTCGATTAAATAAATTGCAAACAACAGAGTGATTTGCATGATTGTAATTTGAATGTTGGAAATGAGGTGTGAAGCATTAACACATTGCTCTATCGGCCTACATTTAATGCCGGCGGGACGGGTCGCACACTCACACCACACATCATCATAATTATATGGAACTTTAACATCTTTGATGTTACGAAGCAGCATAGCAAACTTCAGCTGTAACTGGATAATAGTAATCATTATCCATCCAAACTCATTCGAAATCCGGTTGAAAGCGGAACAGTAATTTTGAAGCCAAGGAGCTACCGTTTTTAGCTTGATTTCAGATAGCTCGGTCGGGTTTAAATTATTTATAAAGCGAAGTAAAATTGATGTTGCGTCGAAAGAGAGACCAAATCGAAAAAGAAATTTCTATGCTAGTAAACAAGTCGAATGCTGTCAAAATGATGCTGATTTGTCATAATCGGGTGTTTAACCACGAAACAGAATTCATAACAGTAACGACGATATTGATGGCTTTTGTGAGTCATTGCATGTATACATGGCATAGCAAAACGAAGGCTGAAACCTCGTAGAACGCTAAACAATTGACCACATTTGTCATCATTGATATCGATTTTGAAATTTATTGCAGGTTTTTCTATACACTTTTGCCACATAAAAGTATTATCACCGACATCGAAATGAGAAACGGGAAGTCGTATTGCAAACAGACTTCAAGATCAAATTGCATGGAAATGAAGACATTTATACGATGATTATGTTAAGCAAAATAAATGATGTTCATTGAACTTGACGAATCTAATGAGAACAATTTTTTTAAGATTTACATGCCACTTTTATTTAAAATCAAATTCCTTCTAATTAAGGCATTTTATCGGAATTTATACACTGTTCCGCTCGTTTTCTACCCCACCACCTCTCTCTCTCTCGCATTCTCTCCCTTTTTTCTTTTTGTTTTAAACCACGCTCTTCGTTTCCATCTCAATTTTATAACTAATCCGTTCCTCATGCAATTATCATGAAATGTGTTGAAAAATTATCGATCTATGTAGAAAGTAACATTTCAGGGAAAAATGGCACTTGAAAGAATGTGAGTCAATTGCCTTAATCGCCGAATAAAATAAAGCTGACGAACGAAGCAGAACAAAACCAAATTTACCTTATTACAGTTGGATGGCTTTGAATCTAACTGAGAATCCACTACTAAAGTTGAATGTCCATGATAAACGACGAAAATTACTCAAATCGGTTGCGGTCGGAAAAAATATCACTCGGTTTTTATTTCTGTTTTTGTTATCAGCAATCAACACTTGCTAATTATTTGTTTTGGTTTCGATCCGTGATTTCACTTTCAATATGAATTTTCGGGCCGCAACGAAAATCGACGAACGAAAAATCTATGCAAATTTTGTTTACTATAAACAGCAACAGCGAAGCAAACGAAACGTCGATAGGCAAATGAATGTTAGTGAAGCACTGCACAATACACTTTAAGCGAAATGAATTTGCCAAGCCAAAAGTAAAGGATCCAATAAAAGAAGAAGAAAAAGTCAGAAGTACGTAATTCAAAACTTGGTATCGGCTGGCTGCACGGGCTGGCTATTGTTTTTCGATAATATGTTTCGCTCAAATTTCCAAACGATTGTTGACAATTGTAGTGGATATGGATGTGATTCACCACGTCGATGTTTTTGATTCGGCGAGAACCAATTTCAACAACGATATACCACAAAAACCATCTATACACAATATTCCGAACGCACACTTTCAATGCTTGCTCCGCTCCATACAAGAAAAAGCAATCGATGTCTGTTCTATTTGAACGAAGGAAATAATATGTATACAACACACAGCACCCAAAAAATCAGTACAATGTTTTGGTATGCTCTATCCCTGTCTATTTCATGCAACACAATGTGTCGATTTCAATTGGTTGATGCTGATTTTGCTCGTTTCACACACAATACAATGTAAATACATAGCAAATAGTGTTACTTGCGTTTTTTTTTTTTGCATACTACACGCATACGCTGTGTTTACTTAGCCATTCTGTCACATTCTGACAGTTTCAACCGAACGAAAAATCGATATACAATACACATTTCGTGACGATGTAATGATTTAGCCTCAAAATTCTTTTTTAATATTTAAAAAAAAAAAAAAATTTCAGATTTTTCCTTTGTTTTCACTTATTTTTCATTAGAAAAAAGCTCAAAATTCGATTCTAACGACTATGGACCAATTTTCGAAAGTGACGTTTGTGGCCTCAATGAAATGTCAAGCGCTTGTATGTAATGAAGTGTCAAAAAAATACACACTAAAACGATTGGAGGTGTTTTTTAATGTGTGGTAGACGTCGCACTTGTATATCGCAGAATTGTAACGAAAATAACAACTAATTACGCTTGTGTTGCTGGATTCGTTCTATTTGCTTTGAATTCGCAGAAAAAGTGTATTAATTGAATTTGATCGAAATGTCGAAGCGACCGGTTGAGGATATTTATGAAGAGTCGGCATCGAAGAAGCCAAAAACCTACGAACATGTCAATAAACACACGCTCGATTCGGATGAAGAGGACAGTGATGTTGATGAAAGTCGGTGAGTCGTTTGACTGGGCCACCAATGATTTTGATTCACGAATATATTGATTTATAAAGCATTTGTGTTGCTTTGTGGTTTCAGGTATAATGTGTTAGACGAGGAGGAAATACAAGGAGAAGAGGATGGTGTGTCTGGAATGGATGGCGATGTCAAGGTAAATTTACTATTCAATTTGGTCAGAGTATTTTTTTTTAACCTGGTTTTGTTCATTTTAAAGAGGTTTTTCCATTTTGGATTAGTTTATCTTTCATCCGGATCAATTTTAAAAAAACGATCTTCGAAAATTGACAAATGAATTTTGTTCAGACATTGATATGATTCTTTGATTCAAACCCAATTTTTTTTTTATTCGATTTTACCCACCGAATTTTTCATTCAAAAAATAATCTCTCTTCCCACTATTAGATAACACCATTCAACATGAAAGAAGAATTGGAAGAGGGCCACTTCGATGGTGACGGTCATTTCCAATGGAAAAAGCAGAAAGAGATAAAAGACCACTGGCTGGATAATTTGGATTGGGTGAAAATACAAAAGTTCAACGATGATCGCAAGCAGAAATTGGCTGAGGATGGTGCACCTGAAACCAGTGCTGGTGGCGGTGGTCTAGCCGACTCATCATCTGAATCGGAAGATGAAGGAAATGATGAAAGTTTAAAAAAATTCGACGTAATAGCTGCCTATCGTCGCATACTTGAGCTGATGAAACCGAAAGAAACGGTGCAGCGTGCATTACAGCGTTTGGGAAAAGCGACTGCAAAAATTTCGTCGATCGAACGTTTTCGACGGAAGAAAGCCGGAATTGTGGATGAAAATGCAGCATTAGTCACTGAACTCACCGAGTTGTGTAATAAAATTCTCACCAAAATGGGCAACATGAATGTTTACGAAGAGACATTCGAAGAGATTAGTGCAAAGTTTGCGTCGAAATTGAAGGGTGGCGGTGGATTTAGTCTATCAAAAACCGATAAATCAATTGATGTTGGTGATGCACTCGATATGTACGCCGATGACTTCGACTCAAAAGAACAGAAGCAAATGACTTCTGGCGACAGCGGCGCCGATGGAGAATCAAGCAAACAAGACCAAACCACAGATCTTGGCGTAGACGACAGCAAAATCACGTGGGAATTCAAATGGAAACTTGACGATACCGAATGCCAGGGACCATACACCACCGACCAAATGTACAAATGGTCACTGGATGGCTACTTCAAAGATGGCGTCTTTGTGAAAAAATGCGGCATCGAATCACAATTCAATTCATCCAATCGTATCGATTTTGAACTTTATTTGTAGTCGAAATTCTGACAGAAAAATCGCCTCGTTTCAATTTTTTTATTCCCAACAATTTTTTTTTTTCTCAAACGTTTCCCACGTTATCTGCATTTTATAAATAGAAACCACTACAAGAAAAAATATGTATTATTAATTGAATAATAAAACAGCCCGTTGAAATTTGCTATGTTTATTTGTAATAATAATAAAAGCATATATTGCTCTATAAATTTACATTACACACAATATGTTTGCTTCTGTCTGTGTGTTTTCTTCTTCTTCTTCTTCTTCTTCTTCTTCTTCTTGCTGTAATGCATTTTAATTTATATAAAAAAAACTGATTGCTATGCTCTAACTTCTTCTAATTGAACCGATGCAAAACAATTGGAAAGTTTTCCGTTACTAAATATTCATCTTGGAATATAACAAATAAATTCAACTCGAATTCTGAAAAGAGAAAGAAAATACGTTGGGTGAAAATAAAAAAAAAAAAATGGTAAAATTGTAAATTGAATCAAAATTGAGGAGAAATATGAAATAATTGGCTAAATGGTACAGTTAAAATGAATCAATCGCACGAAATGATGATAATCCGATGATGTAGGTGATACACGTACCGATTTTAAAGTTTTTCGATATAAGTGTTGGACACGTAAACAGTCTTGGGAATAAAAAATTAATTGGAATTTCTAGTTTTGGGCAAACATTTCCGTCGGCCAATTGAATGGTCTGAACTTCGGTGGCATCACGTGAATAACCCTCAGTACTGCCGCACGTTTCAATTCGCAAGAGTTGCAAGTCTGTTTGGAGAACGTTTGAATTATCAATTGAAGAATTAATATTTGAAGATCAATAATTGATGTTTGAAGGTCAAAAAAATTTTTTGTTAGTTTTTTTTTTTCATTTTTTCTTTCAATTTTTTTCTTCAAGTACCTATGGATTTGATAGCCACTTCGGTGTGTTGGATGGTCAAATGGCCGGTAAATGGTTTGGATATGCAGCAATCGACCGCATCCAATGATCCAGTAATTAAAAATCTTGGAATGGATATACGTTCTTTGCCAGTTTTTTGTAGCGTTTCAGGGCTTATCGTAAATGTGACGTTGGCTTGTTCGCACTTGGATTTATTGTTTGGCGGCAACTTTGGCTGTGGCTTATACTGTATAACAAATTGTTGCGATTTAGCGATAGTTTTCGCGAGAAAACTGCGTTTTATCTCACATTTAATCATATAATTAATGTTGATGAAAACGCCATGATATGTTTCGTAGAGAATCTCTTTGACACATTTAAGCTCAAATTCAAACGCCAATTCACTGAAACCTTGCGACAATTTGCCAGCACCGGCCAATTGAATGCAATTGCTAAGCAATTGAAATGGTTTAATGCCTCTTAAATTCACCATGCCATCCAGTGCCACTACAATACCATCGTGTTTTGTCTCTGTTGGACAATGTATTTGCAATAGACCACTTATCGATTCCTGCAATTAAAATTCAACACAAAAAAAAATATTATAAACATAAACAGTTCACTATCGACATTTGTGTAAACATTTGGCCTTACGTTTTCATAGTAGATTTTATTCGGTCGATTCAATTTGATTTCGATTGATACAGCCATTTTTCACATCGATAAAGCGGATGATTGTGCGGTACGCGTATTGACACTTTGGAGAATTGCTTTAAAAAATTCAAACAAAACCATTTGAATTATTTATTGCATTTTTAGTTGTCTTGGTTGCTTTGGGAATAATTTTATAACTAGTTTAACATTTTTTTTTTTTGTGTTTTCATTCATTTGGATGACATTTTGACAGTTCTCGTTCTATCTCTCAAACGCCCCAGTATGATAAAATCCAGGAAGAAGGGAGGTGCATCATTCATTGATTAAATACACAACTGGAATCGATTGAATGAATCATCATACACTAGGAGGATTTAAAATAGGATGGGAAATCTGTCTTTAGAGGAGAAAAACGTTATTTTCCTTCAAATAATTGAAAATAAACTAAATTTGGCCTACGATTTCATTTTAGTGTTCATATTGTTTAACTAATCTTTTCAGTAAGTTGAAGCGCCATCTGTTGAAAACAAATGCAACATTCTAACTTCGGACAACTTTATGTATGAAATTTCCTGAATATCAGATCGCTTTTACGATTGTTTATACATAACGTTGATGAGTCGTTATGGCAATGATAATCAATAATGGTGCAATCCGTTAGATCTACCTATGCGTATGATTAATACCTTTTCATGCCGACTTACTCATTCATTGATTTTTAATTCATTTTGGTTTCATAAATGCATTGTTCGTTTAAGTGTCTTAAGTCTTGAGAACAAGTTATGTAAAATTTAGAGTGAATTTCACAAAAATATATTATATATAATTTGACATAAAATTCATCAATTTTCGCCGTTCGAATTGGGAAAATCGTTTTCAGAAGTTCTAAATCTTAAATTGAATCAAAAATTTCAACCGCTGAAGAAAGGAATTCAACCGATGATTTTCGTAGCAACGATTTGACTCTTTTCCGTGCTTGAAGCTTATGTCAAGAAGACAACAATCGAAATTATTGAAAATTTTTGCAATTTTCAAAAAGAAAAACCAAAAAAATCCTTTTTCATAGTTCTATTCTTTCAATTTAAATCCTTTGTCAATGTGCAAATTTCAAGCCAATAAAATTGAAATCCAACACGATCCACGATGCGGTTTCAAAAAAGCATTTCCCTATTGATTGAACGAATATGAGTATCAAGTGGAAAATTGCGCCAGAAAATGCACGTTCATACATGATTTTTCCTGTTTCAATTGAAAACTCGATTACAATCGAGTTCTGTGTACAGACACAGTGTTCTTGTCATTCCAACGACGGACGAAGTAGAAAAACGGATCAAAGTAAATCAATTTCCGAAGCGTTCGAATTGGTCATCGATCGAAAATAGCTAGTTTCGAGTTGTGATTACTTAATTGGGAAATAATTTGCGCCAATAAGCATTGTTTGATGAAGATGGTCGATTTTCGTATAGTTGCGACTATTGTCCGATCCAATGCGATCCGAAAAGATGTACATATATCGGACTGAAGATTGCATTTTGATATGTTCGCGTTGTATGAATGCGGATACCGCTAACATAGTGCTACCGCATCATGTGCCTCGCATACGAATCCGATACGAAACTCTTTCGGGGTATCGTTGTGTCTGTCTCTGTCTGTGGGTCATTATGTCTCGTTCCATCGCGTGCGATGAGTATTCAGTTGGCGATAGTTTGGTTGCCTCGCGGTGGCGGCGGCGGCGGTGTCGACGACGACAACAACGACGACGAGTGTATGTTCGGCAGCGACATGCGGGAGCAGAACGGAGAATCGTGAGATGGAGCCGCACAATACTCGCGAGAATACGAGAAATCGAATTCAAATAGCAGAAAAAAGTGAAATGTTAAGTTAGTATTTTTTCAACCGTCGTTCGTGTGTATCAATTTTTCTCGATTGGCGTACGCGCTCGCTCACTCACACCGAAATATTTGTAATTGAGAGAGTTATTTGAGAGTGTTATTTTTTTTTAAATATTAGTATTGAGATTTGGTTTCTTCGATCGAGTTTTGGCCTGTGCGCAAATCAACGGTGTGTTTCATTTTTTTGATACGTTTTAATTTCTACTCGAACTTATTAATTCGATTGTTTTTTCTATATTCTATTTGAAACTGAAATTTTTTGCTGCGCTGATAATTGTGACTTTGGCATTTCAGTTGATGTGTGTATTTCGGTTTCGGTTTCTGTTTTGATTGAATGTTGGAAATTTCCATTTTTCCGTTGTTTTTTGCTGATTATTGATTTCAAAAGATTAGAAAAGTTTTGTTCCATGGTGGTGTTTGTGTATTGTTCAAGTTGCATTTTTATCGGTACTATTAGTCGGCATTGTGAAGCGGTTTTTTACACAGCCGATAGTAGAAGTAAAATACATGCATCGTCGTCGTCATCGCAAAACGTTCTTGTTTAAAATATCGATGGATTATTATGCAAACTGAAACATTCTCCAGCTATAATCGAACAACAAGTTTCTTTTTTTTTTCTCGTCTCTCTTCGATTTTCGTCATCGACACTTTATACTGATAGACCCAATCAGCTATACTCTTATACTTAATACTCTTTTTTTTCGAAACTCTCCGGCGGCCGAATATGTGACACATAAACAAATTCGCGTGCGCATCGTAAACTGCAACACAAGCAAAAGCGATATCAAACAATCAAACTCTTCGCCTTCTTCTTCAATTTCCATTTTCGTATATTTATACTCATTCCATTGGTTTCGATCTGGAAATATACATATCGACTGCGCGAATATTGTGTGTGCGCGCATGTTTTAGCCGCAACAGAGCAACGCGCTGTTTTGTTTTGTGCCTAATTGTTTTGTTTAATGTTCAATTCACAATTCGCCCTTTTGTCTTGTGTATCTCGTGTAATTACTCGGGTTTTTTTTTGTCAGCCCATTCACAGTTCTTTGCCTTTCCTTTTTCTCACTCGTGCGTGTAACGATTTCGCCAAAACCGAATTGAATAGAAGAAGAAACAAACGGACAAATAAAAAAAAAAACGTTTTTTTTTTTGAAAATGCAAATTTCAACCGAAAAAAGCCATTTGTGAATACATCAACACCAATTTTCAATTATATATTTCAATAATTTTTGGTGTGCCATATTCAATTCGCTTCCATTTTTTTTTAGCACGAGTATAAGACATTTTCATTTCATATCGAATGATTATCATTTAATTAATGTAGCACAAAGAGTTAGGCGAAGGAAAATTTCTCACTGCCTTCACACTCCTTCGTAATGCCCTAAAGTATTAGGGAGGAACGACTTTTGAATCGAATAGGAAACTTCTCCATACAAATAAAATCAACTACACAAACAAAGCTGATTTTAGTTTAGTTGAAATAGGGAAAAAGAGATTGAAGTTGGAAAAGAAAGGAAGAGTAAAGAAAGGAAGCCATTAGTAAGAAAGAAAGGGAAGGAGAAAGGAGGATTTTTTTTTTCAAAGAACTACCAGGGAATGTTCAATGGAAAAAAGAAAAACAGGAAGCAACAAAAGTATTAAACAAGAAAATATTGGCATTCAAGTCAAAGGATGTCTTTGAGTCAGAATCAATCAAATGTCCCCAAATTTCAATCAAAATTCAAGTATGAAATTCAGTCAAAGTCCCGTCCAGTCAAACACAAACATTTTTTCAGTCGCAAGTATTTCGCCAGCACATCACAAACTCATTTTTTGGTTACTAATTTTTGCTAACCCACCGAATATCATTTCAGCACTTCATTCGAATGCAACGAAACGAGAAGCAACTGTTTGGTCAACGTGAATAATAATCGTCACATTGTGAAACAAAAATAAGTTCAACAACAACAACAGCAGCAGCAACAATAACGAAATAATAGAAAAAAGAGACCTGTAATTGGAAACGACAACAAATAACAAATGAAAAATAAGCTCACACCAATTTCGGCGTGAGAAGGTGGTCGGGTATGAGTGGACTGGTGATCAAGCGAATTGATAAGAGATAAGACAATGAAATTGTGTAAATGCGTGCATGTGTTGGTGCATTGAAATGACTTGAAAACGACCAAGCTAAGACTAAATAGCTTTGAACAAAAGAAAAGAAAAAAACGGAAGAAGAAGAAAACGAAGGGTTTTTTTTTCTTGAATTGGCACCATTAATGAACATACCTAATTTTCTCGAAGTGTCAACGCAAAATGAATCGGTCGACGAAATTTGCATGCAAGTGAAAATCGAGTAAATCAGTGCCGGTGCGTGAATAACGAGAAAAAAAGAACACATACAAAAACTACAATCGATAATAGTATGTAAAAAAAAACCAAAACACAACTCAACCAGCTGAATTTCGAACCACTAGATCGACCAAGCATTTAATCAGAATTTGTGAGCATCCAAAAAAAAGGTAAAAAAACACATATTTGTCAATTTAAAGAAGAAAGAAAAAAAGAGCAGCGTCATAGAAGCCGCGAAAATCTCGTGTGCCCTTTTTTTCGTTGATGGCAAACACAAATTTTTGTGATCATTTCCATTTTTAAATCGGTTTATCAAGAAGCTTTTTAGTGCCATATTCACCTCTCTCTCTCTCTCTCTCTGCCTCATTCTCGTTTATATTCCAAATACACATACCTATATACGAAATGAAGAAGAAAAAAAGGCAGCAACGAAGAAAGAAAAAAAAACACCACACATCACAAATGTTCATTATCGCGCTGAAATTTTCGCGAGAGAGCCCGAGAGATTCGAGCCAATACTCATATTAGTCCGTGTGCAGCGTGAGCGCACAAGATCGAACCGTGTTCGTGTCGTTTACTGTTTGGCCCTCTCTCTCTCTCTCTCTCTCTCTCTCTCTCTCTCTCTCTCTCTCTCAATCGCACACACTCTCTTTCCCTCGGACATTCTGTGTGTAGCGACACTGAGCATATGTGTATGCTTGCGCGGTGTATTTTTTTTTTATCAAGCACGACGTGCGACTCTGTGTATATGTGCAACACGTCAAAAGATGAAAGAAGCACACGAAGAGAGAACGAACTGAATTGAAAAGAAGCAAAAAACGAACGAAAAAGAAAAGAAAAAAAAAGTCACACACAAATCACAACAACAGTTCATATCAAAACGCTCTACATATATTCAAATTCGAAATATGACGCGCGATTCACGCGCATGTTTTCTCATTGAAATAATTTTTATTTTTAAATGCATGACATGGGGAGAAAAAGAGTGAAATTGGACGACAACAACGGCGATGATGATGAGACAAATAAATGGGACCAAGAAGATAATTCGATCGTTTCGATTCGATGTGTTGTTGGCCTGACCATCATCAGAAACAGACAACAAAAATTATCAATGCAAATACAAAAACTACACCA